ACATGTTGATGTGGTCGAGCATGGTGTGTCAACGTTACTGCAGGCATAAAAAGTGTTATGAGACGCTGGGTTACGTGGTAGGGACCTTCCCTTTCAGAGCAAAGATAAGTGAAAAATGGCATTATCTTTTTCTTTCAAAGTATTTATTTATCATTCCCAATTACTAATTAACCAAATTATTTGAATAGAATAGGTGCGAGGGGCCCACCGGATAGGGCAACTGACTGAGCCAAAGTATCAAAGTGGGCATCGGATTCCAAAATTTGTCGGCATCAAAGGATTGGGAAAACGACTTGTTGTTGTTGTGTGGCCTTGGCCGCATTTTGGGCGGGGGACCTTAGGTCGCCAAGTTTTGCTTAACTAGCAGTTCCAAGCACCCACAATTTTTCCTTCCCGACATTGTCGTTTAGCGTTCCCATGCCACGCAATAATGCTTCCAGTTCTATTTCACCAATGCATCTCGAACTTGATTCCCACAATTATACTCTTCTGTCAAATATCTTCACTTTAATTTAATCCCTTTCTCCTTTCACCTACTCTTTCTGTCTTTCTCTCCCTATATATTTTAACTACTTTTTTATTCTCATACATCATCCAACCTAGTATATATTATCATCAAAGTTCCACAAAATCCTGATTTTACTATATTTAGAAACCACTAATGGAATTAATGAGATAAAACTATACTGTACATCCTTAAACCGATAAAAGTATGAGATGTGTAATGCAAAGAAATTCAATGAGGTGGTGGAAGGTGATATTATAGAGTCATATCAATATATTACGGAATAAGGTTGAGACTTGAGAAACACCCACACCTTCGGTCAAATATTTTATCATAAAAAAATCAGGACAAACAAAAAGGGTTCAGTTGTTCTTTTGCTTTGTTTATAGCTGTGCACATGTCAACTTTTTGCATCAACAACTTTCATTTTATATGTGAAATTAATAAGTAATTTGTGTATATTTACAGTTTTTTTTCATTACCCATAAAATAAGGATCGCATACGCAATTTTATATTAAATTAGAATACAATAATAAGATAAAATTGCGTAAAAAATAATTAGAAGTTAATTTTATATTACGTACAAATAAAATTTATTTGATTGATCATTATAACTTCAATTACAATCATTTAATTGAAGAACACATAATATGTTGTAAAATGTAAGTACTATACACTTTGTGAAATTAGAAATAAGTTGTACAAATCTGTTCAAGAAATAATTAAAATCATTCTAACAAAGATAATGTTGTATTTTTTATTAGATATTTTAAAAATTAATGTATATAATTATTTTTTTAAGACAAATGAAGTAGTTATACATAATAATTGGACTTTTAACAAAAATTTTCTTTCTTTTTTAGACATGCATTTTTGCTATACATAAGACAAATCATTTATATATAATTAAACGAGAGGTAAGTAATTTATTTGAATAATTAATATGTGCAATATTATAAATCTTGTATAAAAGTACTTAGTTGTTAGACATAATATCAACAATAATAACAAAATAAAAAATGCATATTATCATGCATAAATTTTAAAGATGATTGATATTTGATTTTATAGTTATAAAACTAAAGTTTGATCACAACTTATTTTTAGTATAGGTTGTCTTCAGACATTTGAGTATGTATATTTGAGGCATTTATAAAGTTAGTTTATAATATACCTTTTAAAAATCAATAATAACAATATTTTGTTTTTATTTATAGTATTGTTCAGTTGATATTAAATTTTACTAAAAAATATTAAAAAAACTAAAAAAACTTTAATAATTTTAACTTTTACACGTGAGATGATAATAACATAAATTTTCTAGTCTATTACATATATATATATATATTTGGTATGTACAATATTATAGAACTTGTATAAAAAGGTACTGTTGACATAATATCAACTATGATAGCAAAATTAAAAAAAATACACATTATTATGCATAAATTTTTAAAGAGAAATGATAATTGATTTTATAATTACAAAGCTAAAATTTGATTCCAAATTTTCTTTAATACATTTCTAAAGTTAATTTATAATATTTATTTTGAGATTAAAAACAAAGATAATATTTTTTATTTATTTATGGTATCATCTAGTTGGTGCTAAATTTCACCAAAAAAAATGTTAAAAAAACTAAAATAATTGGCATATTATAAAGAAGTCTAAGAATGTAAATTTGCTTGTTTATTTCATTTACACATATATATATATATATATAAAAGGATGTTTTCACCCACTTCACTCAATAACTCATTTTCTATCTTAAATTTTAACGATCTAACTGTTGAATTAAAAGTTTATAATATAATAGATCAAGTGTAAGAAAGTTGTTATTCATGAATGTAATAAATTAACTCAATAACTCATTTTCTATCTTAAATTTTAACGATCTAACTGTTGAATTAAAAGTTTATAATATAATAGATCAAGTGTAAGAAAGTTGTTATTCATGAATGTAATAAATTATCAAAGTAAATGGTTTATGGAAATTTACAATTTTAACTTTATAATACGTTATTTTTATTTGACCAATAATGTTGTTGCATGGTTAGATAATTGTTTGAGAGAGTCAATATAGAGAAATACATTTTTGATAAGGAAAATATATATAAAAAATAATTTTATTAAATCAATCAATCCAAAAAACATCTAAATAAAAAATTTGAAATAAAAAAAGACTAAATTTCATCAAAGAAATTAAGAATAACAAAAAAAATATCCTAAACTTATTAACCAAGTCAAATAAGAAAAAAAATAATACATTTTTTTATCGTATTTGTAATGCTACATAAAAAATAAAATGTATGAGCAAAATGTGAACACGAAGATGAAGATGAAAATAAAATAAATAGAATGTTTGAGAACAAAAAAAACTGAAAAAATAAATGAGAAGACAAATAAGAAAGAAAAAAATTTATATCTCAAAGAAATTTATTTAAGAAGTTTTTTGTGAGAAAGTAGGAGAAAAAATTGAAATATCTACAAAAATTAGAGAATGATGACTTTGAAAATGGTGATGATCATTTTAAAGAAAGCAAATAAAAAATATTTAGATTATGTATTTAATTACAAAATAAAATATTATTTTTTAATATAATTTCAGTTAGAATTAAAAAAAATTTAAAATTAAAAAAGATGGAAAAACTAAAAATGAATTATTAATAGAAAAATATAATTAATCCAAATTTTTACATATGACAAAATTTAGAGAAATCTAGTAATATAAATTTGCCAGTGTATTATATTTATATATTAAATATCTTTTCCTTTTTTATGTTATACACATATTGATATTTTTAACTATATTTTTTTAAAAAATATTAGAGTAATTTTATTTTTAATTTTTAATTTTTTTTTAAATATCTTTAATTAAGAAATTATTATTTTAACTACTCAAATTACAGCCTTCTAATAAGCATACATAACTAATAGTAGAAAATTCACAAAAGTTATGCAACATTATTTAAGTTTAATGTATTGTTTATGTAACATTTAATAGTTTGGTTAACAACATTTAAACAGAAAAATTAAAATAATTTTTTAAAAAAGATTATAAACTAAAATAATTTAAAATTTAGAAAAGAAATTGAAAGACTTGAATATATCTAAGCCTTTTCGTGCAAATTCAAGTTCAAAAAATTGGCTGGTGATAAACACACCTCCACTCTCATATAAACACACCCCCTTTTTAAAAAAAATATATAAAATGTCTAAATTACCCTTAAAAAAAATGAAATTCTTAAATTTACACCTCCCTTCCCCCACCCTCCTTCCCCGCACCCCACATTTCACACCCCTCTTCTTCCCAAAGCCTCTTTCCGCTCAATGTTATTAAGCAATATACTTTTACAGTCATTCTGAATAGAAAAAAAGGACTAGTCCCACCATAATCAGCATAAGAAAGGTTCTTTTACAGTCATAGCATTTCGAAAAGTACTTTTACAGTCATTAGCATTCCGGAAAGTACTTTTCGGAATAGAAATTATTGTTCATATAATTCCGGAAAGAACTTTCCGTAATAGTAACTTTAATATTATGGAAAATACTTTCCGGAATTATATAACAAAATATTTCCGGAAAATACTTTCCGGAATAAGAATTTAATATTATGGAAAGTATTTTCCGGAACATTTTTATATAATTCCGGAAAGAACTTTTCGTAACAGTAAGAAGAAGAAGAAGAGGAGTGCCAGAAAGAGAAAGAAGAGGGGTGCGCAATGTCGGCAAGTGATTTTGTATGAGAAAGACTCTTACTTGTTCTATGAAAAGAAAGATTAGTACAAAAATAACTTTTAAAATCGGGGTTTTAAAATCAGTCATAAGGTAGCCATTTTAAAAGTGACGCGGTGGCCTGTACTGCAACAGAACGGCCCCAGAACGGCCCTTGCTGCAAGCAGAACGGCCCTTGCTGCAAGCAGAACGGCCTGTACTGCTTGCAGAACGGGCCGTACCGATTGAAGAACGTGACGTACTGCTTGCAGAACGGGGCGTACTGAAAACAGTACGGCCCGTTTTGCTGCAGAACGGCCAGCACTGAAAACAGAACGGGCCGTATTGCAAGCAGTACGGGCCGTTCTTCTTGCAGTTCTGCTTGCGGGAAAGGGGGTGCGAGGAAGGGGGTGCGAGGAAGGAGGGGTGTAAATTTAAGAATTTTTTTTTTTTAAGGGTAATTTAGACATTTTATATATATTTTTTTTAAAAGGGGGTGTGCTTATAGGAGAGTGGAGGTGTGTTTATCATGAGCACAAAAAATTTGATAGTGAGAAAGTTGGACTCCTTTTTCTGTTTGGGGGAGGGGGAGGAGCTTATATAGGTCCGACAGGCTTTCGTTTTACGTTTTTTCGTTAATGGGCCAGTTTATAAATAGTTAGACTTCGACTCACTGTTTGGGCCTAGATGGAGGTAGACGAAAGTTTAGGCCCAGGCCGAAATGATTTTGTTTAGGATCAGAACTAAAGAAGAAAATAACAAAAAAGAAAATTGAAGGGATGGAAAACAATATAGAATATAGAAGAATAGATAATAGAGTGGAGTAACACTGGGAGGAGAAAGAAAGAAGAATGGCCAAGGGCATGTCACCGCAATTACAAATGAGGTTCAAATCCTCTTTGATGGGTGAACGTCTCTTACGGTGTTCAAGGCACCAACCTCTTCCTCAACTATTTTGTTACAACCCTGGTTCTTCTTTTTACTCATCCTCTTGCTTCTACTTCTTCCCAATTATCTTCGTTTTTGAGCTTCTAGGGTTTCCCATTCGTAAAACATTGCCTGTCATTTATTTTAACAGCAATCAATCATGTTTCGATGCAATTATCTCGCACGCTCTCTGGTTTGACCAATTTATTCTTCAATAGAAGGTATCCATATCTGTATCTGCGCGTGCATGTCTTCTACAAAAACAATGAATTCAACTAATCATGTTTCTGCTCTAATATACTTTATATTGTAACTTTTACGGCACTGCTATTGCTGTTGTTGTTGTTGTATGCGTGCGTGACTTTTGGTTATGAGATTTTTGGTGATGGCTTTGTAGAAATGTGGATGAATTGTCAAACAGCAAGCGAAAACGTTTGAGACCTGGAAAAGTTTCTCCGCGGCGACAAGTGCCGAAGAATATACCGAGGCCTCCGTATGTGAATTCTATTGTTCCCGCGGGGCTTGTGAGCGGAGCTGAAGTGCATGACAAGCAAGGGATAGAATGCATGAGAGCTTCTGGAAGGCTTGCAGCCCAAGTTCTTCAATATGCTGGCACCTTAGTCAAGGTGACTTCCTTTCGTATTTTCTGCCATTCAATGCAACATTCTCTGATTCAATGTTTCCTCAGTAAAATCCTTGGTGCTTACTATGAATTTGTGATGTAGAAGAACAAGTTAATACTTTGAGAAGGAGGAGGAGGATATATCATTATATTGTCCTTCCCGCCCTCTTAGCTTTGCTTTTTAATCATATTATGGGGTTTGTAAGTACAAATTAGCTTAAAGAAACACTGCAGGTTGTTATTGTTTGTCAGTGCAGGATATGACAACCTTGATTTTTTAAAAGAATAGTATTGTGTAAATTTATGAAATGTTAATAATTTTGTATAATTATACTGATTTAATTTTTTCATTAAAAAAGAAAAAGTTGTTTTTATGTTAGTTTTAACTTCTGTTGACAGCCAGGCATAACGACAGATGAAATTGACCAAGCGGTTCACCAAATGATAATTGACAATGGTGCATACCCATCTCCTCTTGGCTATGGTGGATTTCCTAAGAGTGTCTGCACATCTGTAAATGAATGCATTTGCCATGGAATACCAGATTCCCGTGTCCTTGAGGTCCTATACTAGTTTCTTCTGAAGTTAAGTTAAACACCCTGTGTGAAAAAAAAATAAAATTGCTGACTTATTCTTTATCTGCAGGATGGTGATATAATCAACATTGATGTCACTGTTTATCTAAATGTAAGTTTTTTTTCCTAGAAAAGGGTGGTGGTGATGCTATTGGTAGCTGGTTTAGCATTTTGTTAGAGGGTGGGAATGGCCATTAAATTCCATTTCCTGTGTGCTTTGCACATCCCCATTACAAATTTTTTTTGGTTAAGCCATTCTAATGATATTTTTTGGGTGGGTGGAGGCTTGGAATTATTTATTGTACACTCATAATTCAGTTTTTTATTTTTATTTTTATTTATTATTTTTTTAAACTTGGTACTGTATCAAATTTTGTCTGAATTTTAATTCACGTAGCACCTCATTACTTGAGCAATTAAGCATGTTGCATTAAAGATCAGTCATTTCCCCATTCCTATTTGTTTTGAAATTATGTCGTTTAGTATTTGTAAAATTTAAGCTTTAATTTGGTGAATGAAATGTAAAGATATGAGTTGCAGGGCTGTCATGGGGACACATCAGCAACTTTCTATTGTGGAGATGTTGATGATAAGGCTAGAAAGTTAGTTCAGGTGCCCATTTGTCTTTCATGCCACCAATGTCTGTGATTTGTTGTTTTCGTCTTCTTACTTCTACAAACTTTATAATTCTGCATTTTATTACTTTAATCTGTTTTTAGATGTGATCTACTTTTTCAGTTGTTTCTTTCTTCCTGTATTTTGGAGGTAGAATCTTTGTATTCTTTCTTCCAGATTGTGAAAAAGCTCCACTAACTGTACTGTATTCCTTATTTACTGTTAATGGCATGTGAGTTGTGAGTCGTGACAAGCAACAATAGCTGAAGGTTTCTTGTTTCTACTCTAGTCTTAGTGGTTAGGTAGGATTTCAATTTTGGATTTTCAATTACTTGGCCTGGTATGTTTATTGTTTTCTGCATTGGTATTCATTGTAGAAAGAAAGGACTGATATTGAAATGGTCTGATTTCCTCGGGCACTGGTGAAATAATGTCAACTGTATTGAATTCTATAGCATTGTAAATATTACCATAACAGAGCAGTAACTACATTGTACCAACTACCAAGATGTAAAGCTATACAGTAGAATATCCATGTTATTAAATTTTTGGCAAAACACCTAATTTGGTCCCTTATAATAATTAGTAGTTTCAATTTCGTTCCTCTATAATTTTTTTGTTTCAATTTGGTCCCAATAATTTAAAAAATGTCAATGTGGGACTTTCTGTCCAAATTTTACAAACGGTGTCAAATGTAGATGACGTGAATGCCACGTAGATACATACATGGCAAGTTACCATAGTCTTTCTTTAATGAACTTGGAATGACCCGTTCTGAAACCAGAACGAACCGTTCTGATCCCACTCGTTGTGTGTTAATTTTGTAACTGAAACGGCCCGTTTCATATGTAAATGTAACACACAACGAGTGAATTAGAACGGCCCGTTCTAGTTTCAGAACGGGCCATTCTGGTTTAAGAACGCTCCGTTTTGGATTCAGTACGGGCTGTTCTGGAACGCCAACTAGGATTGATATTTAAATTTAAGTGTTACAATTTCAACAAAATGTTCAACAAAACGTAGCAATGTGGTTCAAAGATTGAAAACAAAAATTCATAATATAACATAAATTCAAATATTAAAATATGCACTAGAGTTGATCTTTTCATCCTTATTTTTCATCATTACTCATATAAATAATAAATCAATTAGGCGTAGTTTACTGTCTGAGCCGCCACGACCTAGAACAGTAGATGCAATAAACATGTGTATGACCTGTTACAACCCCCTAAAACATGTATGAATTAAATGATCTTGGATTTTTTTTCCCTTATGGTTTGAAATCCAAAGATACCATTAAATTCCTCCAAATTGAGACGATACTCTATATTAAAAAGTTTAAAGAAAATCAATCTTGGTTCACAATTTGCCCCGGTTAAAATTTCAATATGGAGAGAGCTAAGATATTCAAGAACAGTGTTGTCAAATGGCGACGGCGCCATAACGGTATGGCGGCGGGCGGGGGGGCTGGGTATGGGGTCTGG